GTGTCTGTGTGTGTGTGTGTGTGTGTGTGTGTGTGTGTGTGTGTGTGTGTGTGTGTGTGTGTGTGTGTGTGTTTGTGGAGAGTTTCAGTAATGCAGGTCTCTATCAGAGAGCAGATGAAAGCTGAATTCACCTCTACTCTGCTTTGTGAGACAGTCCATCTGTTTTGATAAACAAAAAAAATTAGTTTACTTTACAATGTACATACATTTACATAAATAATTATTGGCATGTGATTGCATCTGTAGTTTGTCTGCACTTGCATGGCATTGCTCTTTTATAGATAATGAGTGATTAAATAATGACGATGTTAATTTTTGGGTATATTCTTCTTTGGAAATACAATAATTTTATAGGTGTTACCTTTATGCTCTATGTTACCACTTCAGTTTGGTAGTTGAAATCTTCTGTTTCATCCTCTCCAGTCTCTTCACGTTCATTCGTAAAAGCTGGAAATTGAACAAGAGCCTCAGAATTCTAATCCTGTGTCTGTCTTGTTTTGTAGGGTCATTTTTCCAGTGCAACACTCACATCATCCCGGTGAAGAACGAAGAGGGAGTGGTGATGATGTTCATCCTGAATTTTGATTACGTGTTGGACGAGGACAGCAGCAGCTCTACGGAGAGACTGAACCTCACGCCGCCCGCCAAAGCTGAAATCAGTGAGTTCTGATATTAAATACAGACTTATTATCAGTTTGCATTGGCAGGTTGGGGAACCAATCATGACTTTCAAACCATGATCAAATTTGATGGGAAAAAATAACTTAATAGTAAAATAGTAAAAAGTTTACTTGAAAATGTCACCTTATGTTTTCAGCTTCCTATGTTCACTAAGTCTGCATTAATTTGATGGAAAATATCAGTTTTACTATTTTCTACGTTCTGTTTCAGTGTCTGTTGATCTGTGTTTGCACGTGCTGAACTAATGAGCTTCAATCACAGTTATTTCTGTTGGCTCAGCCACACAGCAAGAAAGTTGCTGGTTCGAGTCCCGGCTGGACCAGTTGGCATTTAGTTTGCTTGTTCTCCCCATGTTGGCGTGGGTTTCCTCCGGGTGCTCCAGTTTCCCCGACAGTCCCAACACATGCACTGTAGTTGTATTGGATGAACTAAATTGGTCAGTGTATGAGTGTGTGTGAATGTGAGAGTGTATGGGTGTTTCCCAGTTCTGGGTTGCAACTGGAAGGGCATCCACTGCATAAAACACATGCTGGAATAGTTGGCAGTTCTTTCCACTTTGGCGACTCTTGATGAATAAGGGACTAAGCTGAAGAAAAATGAATGAATGAATGCGAACAAAATGCCCAATCAGCGATGTTCGAGAACGCACACAACAGCATTTTGTTTTCAGAATGTAATTCCTGTTTCAAGAAGTGAGCCAAACCAATGGAGAAAAACTGTAATTAGCATTTCTGCAAATGCAGAATAGCCAGAAGGCTATTTTACATCTGTTGTCCCTGAACACAAAACAATACAAGAATTATATAATCAATCAAACATAGTTAAGAAGTACTAAAATATACATAGTTATGTAGATGTTGATAAAAAATGTATATATACAAATTAAACTAAAACACCAAC